GGAACCTCTTTCACATCAAAAATCAGTGTACAGGGTAGTTCGTGTGCACATAAGCCATGTGAGCAGGATATTTCATGTGTACGAAAGCCATAAAGGTTAGACCCGGAGGATCCGGGCTTTGACTAGTGTACTTCTAAAGAGCATCTGGGGGTGGACATCATCCGCCGCAAAACAGTCCTATCCAAAAAGCCGTTTTGCCTTAGTGTCCCCACCAACCATACTAGGGCTGAAGTAGAACCAATTAAAAATTGCCCCAATTGGGCTTCATCGCGAAAAAATATTACATCATGAAGTAACTCCAATTCAAAAACTGCAACTAATTCTAACATTTCCGAGAAGGGAAATTGTTTTCTACCTTCCAAAGTTGCCCCGGGAATTTTATTTTCATCATGCGCCATCTTTGAAAGATTTATGGCAATCTCTTTGTTTATGTGGAATAAATAAACCGCCCTCCCGAAAATAGGCACCTCGTGGTGCGCCTCAAAGAGTACGATTTTCCTTGAAACCCAAAGCCGGGGAACTGTTCAGGTACTACATTTCAGTATTGCACCTAATATAAAAAATTCTCTAAATTAGGATCTGTCCGTCAGCCATACGGTCGTTCACACTCCCACTCTCCTCATTCTGAAAATGGAGGCAGTGGGAGACAAGGTTTTCCTTCTTTTTTCTACTTTTCTATCTGCGAGATAAAAAGTCAGAACCTCTGTTTGTCCTTCTGGTCTTACCTCACTATGTTCGCTCGTCTGCCGTTCGCAGAAAGAGGAACTTGGAAAGCAAGTGGTGGACTTTGTAGCAAGAATACTCCCGCGTCCAGAAGGTCTTCGCTGTGAAGCAATTCATGAACTACTCCGTAAACCACCTGTTTCATCGTCCGTCCTACTCGCCGAGATGAACTCCTAATTTAGTATTATTCCATAAGCAAAAGATCCGGCCGAAAGGAAGGAGATTTTAGGATATTCAAAGCAACATTAAAAATGCGACGCGAGCGCTGCTGGCGATTCCAAATTATGGGCATCCACAATGCTTGCTGCGGCTGAAGAAGCACCAGAAAACTAGTGCATACATGCCGAAGATGACAACCTCAAAGTCCATCATTATCTAGAAAGAATTGCCACAACGCCTTAAAAAAAATGTCAGTCTCGGACTGTATGCTGAGGTCACGTAGGCGTATTAGCACCTATTGATAAAAAACATAAACTTTATGATAGGTACCTCTGCCGGCAATTCACATTACCTTTGCGGAATATTTCAGAAAGCAGTTAAGGCCTAGTCTTACTCCGGAAACTTAACGGCATTAAACCTAACTTCGAATCTCCACACTGAAACCAGCGGATCCACGTTTGGCTTCCTTCAGTACATTGCCCCTGATCCTTCTCTCCAATTCTTCTTTGTCTGGGGAAGAAGGGAATCCCATGGATTGAACGAGGAAGAGTTGACCATTGGTGGTGGATTGTAGCTGCCGGGAATGATACGCACTTAATTTTCGTCGTCGGCATCTTGCAGTCTTCATTGTCGCATATGACCGACCATATACTAAAGTGTATAAATGGAAGGGTAAGCAAGATTCGCCTTAATGAGAACGTCTGCCGCTTCCTGCTGCTCCAATTTGCGGCATGCATTTTTTTATAGATTCAGCAGCCAGACGCTGAACGTCGGACTCGTCTTGCTATCCTAGGTATCCGAAACTCAGGGCAGGGAAGGGGAGGGGAGTGGGGTTGTAATGAAACAAGCATGAAGATCAAATCATGAAGAATGAATTTATTGTGGTCATACATGCCTCATATACAGGATCTCTTCAAAATCAGACAATATTGTTTGGGGATTCCTCTTGACCATGTTAATTTTTCGGGAGGAACGAGGAGAATCAGCAAAAATGGCAGCACGCTTTTTTTCCTAGAGTCTCTTGGGGAGTAGTGACGAATTTTTCCAGAAAATTTTTAGAATCCTATTAAAGAGCGACAAAGGTGATCCAAAATCAGCCTATTCCGATAAAATCCGATATTTTTTTCTCTCTGCCGTGAGGCTGAATAACGGTTAAACCGTTCTATTTTTCATTGTAACGGCGAAAAATATATGGGGGAAATCCTACTTTCCCCTGCCAAATCTTGTAGGTTTAGTATGCGGCTTGAATATATGCCATCATGAACCTTTTCAATCTGTTTCATCGTCTTTCCTATGAAGCTGTCACGACACAAATATTTCGAGAAAACAAATTTTTTCTGGCTATGCACTATTTTGAATGCCGTGGTCTCGTTGGTCAGCAGCTTTTTTGGTTGTATTCATTCAGAGTGCAGTTTTCCTTAAAATATCAGGGTAAAACCATTCAAGTTTTAGCTGTACCTAAGTTCGAACAATATCGCGTAATGTCGTTAAAAAACCAAGCATTGGTGAGTTTTCCTTCCGAAACAGTTCTTCGCAGCTTCGAGAGCTGTTTTTGAGGGTGACCTTTTAAATGCTTTGTTTTATAGCTATTTACTCAATGGTGTCCGAACTTAGGTACTGTTTGAACATAAATGGTTTTATCGCACTTATAGTTTTTTTTTTAGATTCTTTTCATTTCTCTTCCCATGAAATCCAATTTATCCGTATGCCTGAGACTGGTCGCGCTATGAACGTGCGCATTCTCAGCAGACTGAAAATGAAGCAAAATCCGGGACATTCAGGATTGAGTAGGCAAGTGTCCTAAACTGTTATCCTCAACCAAGCTAGTGATGAAGGGGAGTTTTGAAATGACGGCAGAAGTACATTGATACTTCCGTTGAAGATCACTACCAACTCCTACTACTCTTTTCAACCCACAGAAACTATGTCACCAGTAGCATCGGTGAATGTCTCTATGGGTTGTGGTCAAAATTAGTTATAATTATATGCGTTGATGAGCGCTCTAGACTCTTTCGAACTTGGAGTCTTAGTCTTGCAACAATATTCCAGCTTTTCGCTGCACTTCGTTCCGTGCTTGATTGTTTCTGGCTCACACGATTCAACATCGTTTGGGGATATACATTCGTTGAGACAAGGCGGCAATGGAGGAGTTACCACGGAGGACATATCAATGGCGCAGCAGATTCGCTTACCGTTGCATTCCGTTTGTTGGACTTCCGACCCAGGTTTGCACAAGGTTTTAGCGAGAGCAGGATCAAGGCACCCGTGAGTTGAAGGGCATGGTAGCACCTGGACTGGACTGGACAAAGGCGATGGCTTACGGGGGACGGAGGAGAGTCGGCAGCATACTTGAGTATTCTTAGGACAAGCGTTGAGGATGAAAGTGCCTGGATTGCAGTTGGCCTCCTTTGCTTCGACGCAGGAATATCCACCATTTTGAGGACATAAGCAGACTTCGTCCTTTTTTTTCCCATTTGCTTTCACTGCTCCATTCGTCATTCCATTCGCTGTTGAACCTCTTGTCTTTGCCGTACCTGAGGATCGGCAGCAAGCTTGATTGGTCTCAGAACACGTGTGACGAGTAACAGTGCCCAGACCTCCTGGGGCAGGACAAGAACAACTTCTCGGCCTTGTTATTCTTGGGGTTGTCGTATCTCTCGAAATTACCAGTTCACCACAAGCTTCCTCTGTAATGCACTTGTTTTCTTTTGTGGGAAATATTTCCCCAGGTCTACAGAGAGACTGGGGTGGACCACTGACGCAATCGTAGGGACATTTACGACAATTCTTTATGGATGTCATTTGATCCAGGTGTTGAAAATCGGTTCCATCCCCACATGTCCCCTTATAGTTTCTCAGTAAGTCATAGGAAAATGCCAGCCAAGTCAAGTCACAACCACATCTGATTGGATTTGCTGGAAGAGAGAAATAACATATAATACAAATATTTGATCTGGCGGGGAAAAAATAAATGGAACTTACTTTCGAGGTATAAGCATCCCTCTCCCTGCGTCATGACCTCCAGAATGGGCCGGATGATAGTTTCATCTAACACCTCGACCTTATTCCAGCTGAGAATTACCGTTGTGTCAGGCGTGAGACCTGGAATGGATATTGGGAAAAAGGAAAAGTAAATAAATGTTGCCAGAAATACCAAATGGTTGAAAGTTAATCTGACTTTCTTAATATATGCTCTGGCAGTTTACAGGAGAAAGGACGAGAGCTGAACTCTCGACAGAACCTAAAGAACCAATTTGAGTGGAAACGCCCGGAATTCCAAACAACACTCTTAAGTGGCATTTCATCCATTCAATGTTGGATAAATATCATCGACGTATTTGTTCTGACCTTTTACCTTCACAGAAATTAATCATTTATCCGTTTATTTCAGCAAGTTGCTATAAATTCCTCTCAGTCTCGTTACATTCTCAGTATCTTCATGTGCCAGACGGAGACTTTCCATACAATGCAGAGAGTGATGCATTCAGAATTCCGATTATGCTGCAGTACTTACAAAATGCGGTCAATGGGCTTTCCTTAATTCCCAACAGATCAGTGCAAGAAGTGATTCAGACTTTAATATCCGATATGCGAAGAGGGTTTCAAAGAAAATTGAAGAGTTTCAAAGAAAAGAATTATCGTAGGAATATGTAAATATCCATGGAATGATTGCAGAACATACACGGTGGCTCAAAAAAACCAAGCTATTCACTTCATCATGCTGAAAATCAGACTGCAATCCCTTTATTTGAGTTAACATTTAGGCACACATGAATAAACTGTTGCAGCAGTTGTAAACTTATATGTTACGATATCACGAGTTTTTTATTTCACCATGATGAAAATGGTCGTCTTCATCCAGAAAACTGCAGCGACAGTCCCCGGCTGCCGTTTGAGTTAGAGCAGCGACAGCTGTTGTTAACATATTTTATTTTCTGCATCCATGTTTGAAGAAATGATTTTTCCTTTTCCCACTTTTTTCCCCTCTAAAACAGGGCAATGCCTAGCTACGCGCATGAGACTTGGCGGTGGTGAAGACCTTGCTGAAGAATGATGAAGAAATTTTCAACGTTAAACAAACTTCCAGGTTGATTCTCTTGACTCAACATGCAAATTTCAACTTTTTCATCATTCTCTTCATTCTTTCGATTATGGACCTTCCACTACCTTGTTTTCGAGTTGCTGATCCCGTCTCTCATCAACCTTCCGAATGATGTATTCAAGACCACTTCTGACCCAGTTAGTTTTATCCAAAAATTATTCAATTCATTTATCATTCTTCTGGCTTCCTTTCATTTTTCAACTCGCAAGGTCTTGATCACCACCACTGGTCCTCATGCGAGCAGCTAGGGATTGCTTTGTTTTAGTAAGAAAATATGTGGGAAAAGGAAGAATCATATCTTCAAGCATTGCTAGATATAATAAAATGTACTAACAACAGCTGTCACTGCTCCAACTCAAACTGCAGCCGGGGACAGATGCAGCAATTTTCTGAATGGAGGCGGCCATTTCCATCCTGATGAAGCAAAAAACTCATGATATCATGACATACCTCGTATAATTGCATATCTGCTGCTAAAGAGTTGCTTCATGTGAGCTTCAAAGCTTACTCCAATCAAAGCACTGCAGTCGGATTTACAGCTGCATATGCTTTGATGTATTTAGACATGCCGGACATGATACGAGCATCATATGCAATTTAAATTGGATTCAGTAGGGATGAGTGAGCAAAACATATCACCTGTCATGGCAGCCGGTTCTATATCCGTTATTCCGTTCTCCTTCAGCCACACTTGCCTCAGAGCGCTACTGCGGAAATCCATCAGCCCACTTCGAAGAACGGGTCCAAGATCGCATCCGGAACACCAAAATTTCTCAAGATTCCCCAAGGTCCTGATCACTTCGGTGGGAAACTTCTTCAGGGGATTATAACCTGCATTGCGAAAGATCTGGCTGTGAGATAGTGGCAAACCAACTTCGTCCGCAGTTTAAAATTGCTAGTAAGAAAGACAATTCACGTGCATAAATTTTCCATTTTCCAACAACCATCTGAAGAACAGAATCCACCCCAATATGTATAATAATTATTTTCCAAGAATTTCCAAAGTAATCATTTGTGTTCCATTCATAGAATGATATCAACCGCCTCATTTCTCCGTTATTGCCTTCATTATCTCCAACACTCAATAAAGTCCCACTTAAATAGGAATTACATGGTACATGGTACTTGGTACGGATAACTTCATTTTCCTCTCCCTACCATATACTTTATGATAATAAGGACACAAAATGGGGCCAACCTCGGATCAAATCTTGAGCTCGGAAAAACATGTAAACCCTGAGGTTGCCCGTCTGCATTGTGAGAATTAAATGCGTATGAATATTTTCGAAACTGATGCATGGATGTACGGACATCGTCAAATGCGATATCACCGTTGAGTTAAATAGTAACAAAAATTAATTCGATTATGAATCATATTGGCGCACTAGGAGGCATTTACTCACTTATGTAGAACTCTCTTAAGTTCGGAGTCCGCCATCCAAGTCCCTCCACTTTTGCCAAGTTATTGTACGGGAGGTTCAGAATCTCCAGGCTATCACTTTCGATTGCAGGTACCGAGGTCAAAGAATTATTCCTGAGGGAAAGTTCTTTGAGACGGGAAAATAGTGGCAACATGTCAAGTGGGAAACTATCCAGGTCACTGAATAGAATTGTCATAGTCTGGAGGCTATCCTTCGAAGGGAGGAGAGCAGCTGGATGGATCCTCCTCAAGGCTGTGTAGTTGACCCATATGTCCTGGAAGGAGAGATCCCGAAAGACTCCTTCTGGGAGCTCTTGAACCTCTGCGTTGTCCATAATAACAAATTGCCTGGAAGGAGAAACAGGGTGAATGAAGAAATTCACGATAGTCTACTAGGCAATTTTAGGTACATAGAGTAGGATACCCAGTCCAAATCAAAGGACTAATTATTTGCTGCCATTTCTTCGTCTTCGAGGGGGGGGGGACAAGGAATGGAAAGATTAGGTAAACTCTAAAAAATGCAAGAATTTTCCCATGAAAGCAAATCTGTAGTCAACGATTTTGACTGCGAAAAATAATGGAGCAAAATTGTTCATGCTATAATTTCTGACGGAGATCGCTATATGTTTCAGGGAGTTCTCCCTTATTTTCCTTTTTTATCTGAAATACGTGAATATTTTTCATTACCGAAAATACAGTTAGATTGATGACTTATTTCATTGAAGTAAAAATACGTTCTCACCCTGATCATGATATTTACCTTCTTTTGATCGCGTTGAGGCAATAGTATCCTTCCTTTATACTACAGCTGCGACAGGAGTATCATTCACGGCTTCATAGGAAAAGTAGATATACTGTAATTCCGTTGAGATACATTGAAATTAAGCAGAGAGATCTACCTTGAGTTTTCCATAATCAAAGTAACCCAATTGTATCCGTACACTTCAACATTTGAATGATCAAGTGAAGATTCGTGGATGGGTCCCGAGGCGAAGGACCCTGAATGCTATTGAGGCCTTAACGGATTGTGGGTCAGGGGCCTTGGCCCATGCTGGGGACGCAATGTCATCCATACATTATGCATGACGACAGAGTGTAACGCATGGGGGGCAATGTGTTGTCATATAAATACGTTACTGGCACCCAAAAGCGGCAATAACGAAAAGAATCCCTCGGGACGACATTTCCGTATGTTGATCCCTACAATTTTCTCTTGGTTGGTATGACTGTCATATACATTTCATAGATTTTACGGACGAACACTTCCGATATTGCATCAGTATTACTAACATTAGCATTCACATCATAACATCAAAAGGAATCCAACGGTTTTCCATTTTCTTTCCTAAATACTATTTGCTCGATGTTATTCCATGTTCGATCGAGACAGAAAATCTTCGACAGCATAGCACCCTAGAAGTGCTTCACAAAAATGCAGTAATTCGAGGATGTGAAATCTTACTGGCAATCTGATATAAAGTACCCGACCATGATAGTTGGCAGACGGGACCAATGAGGATGGAAAATGTGGTTGGATTCTTTGGCTTTTTCATGTGAGGCATTTTCGCACGTCATGTTTAGACAACGCCTAGCCTCGTAATTACTCTTTGCAATAGTACGCAATAGTCTCACGCCACAGCAGTAGTGCTACCTAATTGTGCGTCGCTCCAGGAACTAAGCGCACAGTATAAATCCAGAAGCGAGAAATCTCATGAAAATGTTCTCACTCACCAGAGCATTCTCGAAGGCCAGTACGCATTCTTAAATACGGATGCGATCTGCGCCCCCGACCTGGCCCGCGAACAATCCACCCTGACTTCGCCTTTCGAGTATTTCGTACAGGTGCAGGGATGTATATCTTCTGTGGGGCATTCCTGCTCCGTTTGCCCGGACACCAAGGCGAGGATACCCGAGAGGAATATCAATGAGAGGATCATAGTGGGAGGCGGTTTGAACGCAAATGGAGGCTCGTGGGAACGTCTGAGGACTTCAAAAACCCTTTGTTCCGAAATGAATGCTGGGGATCCTCAGGCAGGTGCTGAAGAACCCTGTTGGACCAAAAGAAGATTCCTATGCATCGATGCAATGAAGACAGAATATAAAATGTCCTTTATACGACGGCGAATTACCTAAGCATTACGAAAAAGGGAATAAATACTTGATAATCAGATCTTCGAGATCTGATCAACTAAACACGGAATATTTTTTACTTTTACTGTCATTTTCCAATCATTATCCTAAAAGGTAAATTTAAAAAATGCATTGCGCAATTTACAACTGACACTTTTGCGCCATCCTGAGGATTGTAATGTGATGAAATCCTCAAATGCTCTTTTCTCCCTGACGGTAACGGTTATGCACTTGGCATTGTTATTATATGTTTACTTCTCGAAAGTATCATTTCGTGCGTCCCAAAAAAATAATCCCCGAAATACCATTAATAATGCTCTTCTGAATTTTTTTTTTCCCAAGACAGATAAAGAGCAAGAGACAATAATATGACCATTACAAATAAGAGGAAGGACTTACTTCAAAGCGAAAGTCAAAAGAGAGAAATAACCAAGTGGGCACCTCCGAATTAATTTGTATTATTATCGCAATAAAATAGAAAGAATAAAATTTGAATCGCATTTTTGAGAAGTGAAAGTGCAAAGAGTGGCATCCGCAAAGCTAGCGAGCATCCACCCATCTTCTTATTTAATCCTAACCTCCACTGTCCTCTACACATTTTGCTTGCACTATTTCCAGTGGAAAAGAGGAAATTGCAGCCTGTTACATCGAGTCTTACATATAATAGTTCAACAAGATGAACAACTGGACCAGAAACGAACACGCCCCAGTAAGTAATATTCATGAAAAATGCTCCAAAATGCTCACCATACAGTCAGCACGTGAACGGACAGGGATCCCGACGGGGCAGGGATAGGAGGAGACTCTGCCTGGCTCCAGGCAGGTAAAAACAAAGTGAAGGAGAGTCTTCGCTCTCCCTTTTCAGGCTGCGTCTAAATGCCCTCGGGGATTGGCGGCAGACTCTTGTGTTCTTTCCTGAGGACGCATTATTTCACGTCGCAATAGATGTCAAGCTTAATCTCAAAGATTTTCATTGTGACAAATACGTTATTAGAAAATGCATTCTTCTATGCATCAATCCAGAAGGGTGATTCTATGGCAATTTGCGTGCTCGCTTTGCGAAGAATATTGAGAAAAGTAATTGAAATCGCTTCCTTTACGTGGAACATTAGCGCGAGTGCATTATTTTACTCCGGAATGTAACGGAATTCAATTAGTACATAATGCAAAGTTAGGATTGATATATTTAGGCAAAATAAAAATAAATCTCAAAGTCTTCAATATAATTAAAAGCCACGACAAAGAACACGAAGCTAACTTAGTTTTCACAATTCCCGGCCAATGTCCTAATCCTACGGTAGCACATTATTGCCTATATATCTAAGCTAGCAGGAAGGCCCCCGAATATTGTGGGCAATCTAGATAGTAAGGACATTAGGATAGGGAATCCAACTGGCTTACCTTTAGGTCATGGGCAGTTCTCCAGAAGTAAGCGTGACAGGTGCTTATTATAAATGGAAATGAAAGAAAAAAAGCGATTGTTCTAAAAAGACCGTGTCACCGTGAATCTCAATCTTACATTAATATGCTAAATGTAATAACTATTTTAGCATATTGGCAGATTCATCATGCTCAAATCGACAGGATGCGAATAACGGGAGAACATATTAAATATCCCCTTGGAAAATTAAATCGCATCACATATTCATGGAGTAGTTCGATTGAAGGTCACGATTCCATCCTTTTTTCCAACTCAATTTTCACGTTTTGCAAAATTTTCCCTCAGCATCTCTCCCTTACTAAAGGAAAACACATTATCCGCTCCGAGCTCAATATTCATAGCATGAAACTGTTATCATGTGCTGCGTTTCGGCGCTAGGTCTTCCAGCCTAGGTTCGAACTGGGGACAGAGAGGAAACTCCAAGGTGCAGATTCCCAATCAATAGGCGCTAAGGCGCCGGTTCCCTCTCTTCAACACTTCCAGTTACGAATCCCACCTCCTGTCATTCCCCTCTGAGAGTATCTGAACGAACGACATTGGAAATGCCTTTTACCTTCACAACACCGAATCGCCCCACCAAATTTGAAGCTCCATCTAACTGGATAGGGATATCACGTCATCTCATTTTCGATTTCATTTTCAGTTTTTTTTTCTTCTTCCCCTTCCTCGGGTAGCCCCTCTTTAGATTTTGACGGAGTAGATATCCTAATGGCAACATTTTAAATGTAATTCGGGAAGATTATGCGTGCCCATTCCATTGTTGGCGATGCACCCTTTCGCTGTGATACATCAAATTCACTATCGTTTATATTAGCTTATCGTGCGGCTCCACTCTTGTCCCGTTCAGTTGCTGGATTTCGTACTGGAGCAATGCTGGATTCATGAGTGCTCGTGCTTTTTTTTATCGGTGCCTGGGTCTTCTACTTCTCAAGGCATGAAACAATTTTGTGCGGAGTTCTTAGGATGAGGCAGGAATTAAATGGTGGTTGCGTGCGGTCGATTAATCTGTTTGGAAATTGAGACTTCCAGCTCTGTAATCCCTGAATTAACTAGATAGTCAACATTTACTTGAATTTTGGAAGTAGTCTGTTCAAATATATCCAAGCCAAGATGGTGAATGAAATTCCAGATGGGCCTAGCGTTATCCGTCCTCATCGAGATGTCTCCAAAACCCTGAGGTTGGCCCTCATGGGCCTAATTGGTCCTTCACTAAGTCAAGGATTGGCATTGTTTTGAGCGAAAAAAGGTAAGTCTACCCCTGACCTGAATGTAGAAGGTGGGTTAGACCTTGGTCAAACGTTATAACGAGTCCCCTGGTGAGAGAATAGGAGAGGAGATGAGGAAGGTGGTATTAGAAAGAGGAAATCCTTCATAAATCTATTTTCACACTACGTTAGACATCAATAGCCCAGGCCGTATGAACTAGGGGAAAGGGTCCCAATTGTTTATCTGAATGCTTTCTAGTGTGAGGGCACTGAGTGTATTTTGCCTTCCAATGTTCCATGAGATTCGTCATACTCTTCCTCAAGCATATCGATACGCTTAAATACGATATTAAAGGCATGTTGTTGAATGTTCAATGATGAAACACGTATGATCATAGCAAACTTTGTTCAGTGCCTGACTGCGTGGTCGCGTTCAGTACACTTCATGAAGGGAATCAATAGAAGAAGCTGAGAGGTAGTCAATCTCTCTTTTTTCATGCAACGTGCATTTATTTCTGTGGCTGAAATATTTTACTCTTCTGTGGTCCACCCTGTTGTTTTATGGAAGGTGCATGCGCAGGTCATCATTATTACTTCAGATTTGAATATCCTTTTCCTACGTTCCGCCTTCAAAATCTGTTTCTCTTGTTGCTAGCGCGCATAATACTTTTTATTCAAACCGAGATTTATCACTTCAGGACGCAGGTGAGATCTGCGACCATTGATTTCATTCAAGTCACGGAGAAGAAACGACAAAAGAGGTGCGCCCATGGGCATGGAACCTTGGAGCCCTCGCCCTTGAGCACGAATCCTGTCTCTCCCCCTTCCCGTCTCTTGCAGGAAACGGCATCCATACGGTATGATGCTCAATTTCTCTGTCGCATCTCTCAAAATATTGTTCCCATGCCTGTGAAATAGAATAATTTATTATTTCTGATTTCCCCGCCCCCATATTTTCTTCATCTTTAAGGTGAATGATAAATCATTCAGCAAAAATTAATCACAGCCTTTTAATTGATAGAAGTTGGCCGTTTGAAGCCCATATGGTCTCCTGACGCTATCAGCACTATATGCAAAATTTTCTGTTCCACCTTGTCTGGTGGTTTTCGTAATGAAGCTAACTCGTTCATGTTGGATAGGGTGATGCTTTTTTTTTTATAAATCTCTTTGTACTGCAAAACATTGTTCTGGAGAGACCCTTCAGGCGCTGGCACGTTTACTGGACCTCTATAATTGTTCTCTCAAGTTCAGTCAAAGGCCAAAGAGTGATAAAGTTTACCTATTCTGTGGTTTGATGTGCCAGTTAAGTCAGTAATGGTAGCGGTCTTTGGTCGCCATTATTTTCTAATCCAATTGACCCATCATCCTACGAAATAGGTTCACTTTCTCGCGCCTCCGGCCAAAACATAGAAGGACTGTCGCTCGCTTGATCTGTGTTCATCCTGTGTTCTTTGAGGTTCGTTTGCTTTCATGAGGAAAACCTATATGCACCGGTGAAACGGTATGAGTATCTTGCTTCCAGGTGATGGAGTTATTCTTTTTGGGAACACATGGCATAAGGCTTTCTATTCCAACGGTAATGGGAGCTCTCGCCATTCCGTTAAAAGGGTCTACCCTCATGTTGAACATGCTCGCCCACGCCACCATATGCGTGCCTAGCAAAAACCCACACTTTTAACATAAAAAATAACAAAAATAAATGTCTCATTGTTAAGATATGCATCAACGCATTCCCCTCATCTAGAGCTTGCGATTGACAAAGCACATGTACCGCTCGACGGGTTGTCAACTTCGTGGACCCCTGGTGTGGTCTTCGTAGACCACAGTTTTTTTTCCGAGGGTCTGGGCCAAGGTTGAAGTTCGGTTAGATACTGGCAATCTCGGCGAACTTGCAGGTATAGACGGCATCACCCTGTCGGGAATCTCGGCACACTTATGTATCGGTTACAACTGACTCAAAAATGAATGCAACAACATAATAAAACAATACTTTCCGTTCTTCTCTCCCACACTAGCAAAATCACCAAATTTTGCAGGATTTTTGGAGTACGTTTAGAGAAGGTAGCAACTGCGAGAAAACCACAACAGCAAATATGGCTGTTTCGAGCCATGTTAACAACGCGTCCTACCATCTGAGAATACTTGTCATCCCGTGCCTAGGAAACTAGTAGTGAAAGCAGAATTTCGACAATTGCTAAGTGCCGAGATTACCCCTAGTGCCGACATTCGCAGCACTTACCTAGAAACAATGAAAATGCAGTATCTATTGGAATGGACGCGGAGTCAGAAAGGGCTAATTGATTTCGTATATCCACTCTGTCAAAAACAATCTGTATGACTGCTGTATCAATATTATTTTGTCTGGAACATTTGTTAACATGGATGAATTCAATAATTTAGTGCTCAGTAGGCTGGGTGGAGCTCATCAACTTTTATTGCGCTGATACACTGGTCAAGTAATGAAGACAATCCCGATGCTATGTATTTTAATGTCGATCTTTTGCATACAATCAATGAGCCTGGCGTTCCTAATCATAAGCTGACTTTGAAGGAGAGTGCTCGTTAGATAAAATTGTAATAAGACACCTCTGCTTTCAAGATTGAATAGTACATGCGACGAAATTGTGGATTGACAAAATCTTAATGTTGCTGATTGAATGTCAGATTCTTGGCGATGAAGATGGTAATTACTGTACAAAGAAGTACTTGTTCCCATTTATTTCCCCATTCATATTTCAAGGTAGAGGGTCGGGTTTGGAATTAATGAGAATACATTTTCCTTTCATACCGGCGTATGCTTTTAACATTGATAAATCACAGAGACAGGCCTTGGAAGCCATTGGGTTGGATTTATGAAATGAGATACGTGGGTATCATATCATGGACAAGTGCATGTAGCCTTAGGAGAACTTCGAAAAGAGAAACTCCATTAGAATCCTCACGCCCAAATTTAGATAAGAAAAATATGACGACAAAATTCCCCATACAATGACCATCTCCAAACTATAGGGTTTTTCCACTAAAATCATAAGATGACGTTTAACAGAGGGGCAGAGCACACATCCACCATGCTGGATGCTAGTACCGGGGATCGGGAGCTTCAATTGATAGGCCTATGTTACTGGTGTAGCCTCATCAAGTCTGCGTCAAGGTGACCAGCTTTCGACCAATTTTGAGACTATGAAAAGCACGGGGAAAGATCGTTACCTGGAGTGGATGAAGATGTGCGAAGACTGTGATCTTTACTCGTTGAAGCCCTGCGATGGGCTGA